ATAACTCCCAGCAACCTCCAAGTTTGCTTTTGAAGTTTTATTTTATTTATTTATTTGAAAGGCAGAGTGAAAGAGAGAAAGGAAAAGACAGAGAGATTGTCCATCTTCTGGTTCACTTCCCAAATGACCATAACAGCCAGGGCTGACTGGGCCAAAACCAGGAGCCTGGAACTCCAAACAAGCCTCCCATGTGGGTGACAAGGGCCCAAGTACTTGGGCCATCAATTGTTGCCTTCCTGGGCCCATTAGCGCAAAGCTGCATCGAAAGTAGAGCAGCTGGGACTTGAACCAGTGCTCTGATATGGGATGTTGCATTGCAAACAGTGGCTTAACCTACTGTGCTATGAAGTCAGCCCTCTAAATCACTTCAGAATTACAAAACTAGAACCACACTGTTTTGCTAAAAGATACTTTTCTAGGTTATTACTTTTTTCTTTGTGACAAGTAGAGTGGATAGCTATCCAGAAATATCAGCACCTCTGTTAACAGCAACTTTCACTGTTACAACAGTAAGGAGCTTGTGATAGTCTCATCTAATATTATTTTCATGTATTAATCTGGTCACATGACTTCCTAGTGATCACCTACATTTCCTAACTGCCCTTACAGCTAGGTATGCCCGTGTAACTAAGTTTTTTTGTTTGTTTGTTTTTGACAGGCAGAGTTAGACAATGAGAGAGAGAGACAGAGAGAAAGGTCTTCCTTCCGTTGGTTCACTCTCCAAATGGCTGCTATGGCCCACGCGCTGCGCAGATCCGAAGCCAGGAGCCAGGTGCTTCCTCCTGGTTTGCCATGCGGGTGCAGGCGCCCAAGCACTTGGGCCATCCTCCACTGCACTCCCGGGCCACAGCGGAGAGCTGGCCTGGAAGAGGGGCAACTGGGACAGAATCTAGTGCCCCGACCGGGACTAGAACCCGGGATACCGGCGCCGCAGGCGGAGGATTAGCCTAGCGAGCCTCGGCGCCGGCCCATGTGACTAAGTTTTAACAATTAAATCTGAGAAGTTATGGGTACTCCCGCTGGTCTTAATTTTAAAAGGGTCAGCCATGCTTCTTCTGGTCCAGTTTGAGAAAATGCGAGCAGCAGAGATGAGAAGCAACTGTTAAGGTTGGCAGAATGTCCTACCAGCCCTGCCTCGTCTACCTCCACACTATCACACGAAGGAGAAGCAAGCTCCTCTCCTGCTTCACCCACTCTGCTTAGGAGTCTTTCTGAAGCCCAGTTCATTTTGTACCATTCTATAGGTAGGGGAATTGTGAAACAATATTCCTTTTGAAAACTATTAGTTTTTAATTTAAAGGCAGGGAGATAGAGAAGGCAAGCCAAGGATAGAAGGAGTTCATCCACCTGCTGGTTCACTCCCCAAATGCCAGCAACAACTGAGGCTGGGCTGAACTGAAGCCAGGAGCAGGGAGCTCTAGCTGGGCCTCCCACACAGGTGGCAAGGACCTAGTTAGCTGGGCCATCACTCAGTCCATGCTGCCTCCTGGAGTGTCCATTAGCAGGAATCTGGAACTGCAAGCAGAGCTGGGACTTGAACGCAGGCGCTATGATACAGGATGCTGGCACACTCTTGCCCCAAAATGGTATTCCTTCATATTGTTCATGCATTAGTTCACAGCAGAGCTAGTATATAGGGTACTGTCCAGGAATGCAGAGATATGAGCAGGCTTAGGATAAGTCACATTGTATAAATAATGTTGAAATCATACGAAGAAAAATTTAGCTGTAATAATAACAGTGTTTACCATCTGCTGAATATTTCCAAGCAAATGGTTTGTAGATGTTTCAGTTATTTTCCCATTTAATGCTCACAATAACCTTTTGAGGGTCATTTAAAAAAACCTCTATTGTCCAGATGAAGTCACTGGAATCAGAAAAGTTAAATAAGTGACCCAAAGTTATACACAAAATGTTAATTGTCCAAGCCCAGGTATAAAGCCAGATGTGATTCCATAGCCCTTATTTTTGAACATGATGTGGACACTTCACTTCCTCTCCTGCTTAGCCCACGTCATTCCTAGCCATGTGATACATGGCAAGTATTTCTCCATCTCTGGATCTCCTTATATATAAAATGAAGACATTGGGCAAGACCATCTCTTGAGTCTCCTTGAATGCAATCACTGTGATGAGTGACTCTAGTTCCAAGTTTGTGCAGTGATTTTCTAGAATCTAGGCAAGCAGCTGAACCTATTTTTTCAACATGTCAGTGATCAGGGTTATCTCCAAACCTATCACAAAAGTGTGGACAAGACCAACAAGATAACGTGTGGCATTGACCTGAATTGTTGACATTTCCCCTCCCCTTCTGATCTCCTAACTCCTGTACCTTATATCTCCTGCTTGCTCTTCACTGTTATCTCAGGACCCACTGCCTTAATTCAAACAAGGGTGGAAACTGAGGCAACTTGGATCCAGTCCCTCTAATGCTTCTAGATCATACCACCCCCACCAGATGAATCTAGGCTCCTATTACTACCACTGTCATTGTCATTAGCATCATCTTCATCCCACCACTCTACTGCTAGGAGAACTCTTACAACCATTCTTTCAGCTTTCCCTTGGTCTGGTTTATGCCCCTGCCCTACCCTGAAGTTGGCCCCCATATCCTCCACTGGGCTCTGTCTGTAACTCATAATAACCTCTCTGACTATGGAAGAACAGGCTAGTTTTTCCCAAAGGCCGCCAGGGAGGTTGCTGGAGGAATTAAACAGAAGCACTGACTTCAAAGCATTCCCGCTGAGTGCAAAGCAGTGCTCCAATTAGTCCCCCTCCCTAGATTCTGACAGAGCAGCTTTCTAATCTTGACAGCCAAGCCCCATTAACTTCTTTCCTGATATTTAAGGGGCCTGACTGGCTTGAATTCAGGAAGCTGTAGACCTCTTTCACCCACCTCACCTTAGTAACCCTCTAGGAACAGCAGAAGTCACCAAAGACTAGAGCCAAGGTAACCAGTCAGATTTTCCATGATCCACCCCCAATTCTGTCGCTTAACAGATTTCAAATGCTGGTCAAGGCAACTTTTTCTTTTTGGTTTCTTTGCTATAACATATGGATAAAAATCTATACATGCTTCGCATGCCTCACAAGATGTTGTGACAATAAAAAGTGATAATTTGCTGAAAAGGACATTGAAAACAGTAAACTGCTATGCGGAATCCAGTTATTCCTGCTTTGATATCAATGTCTATGCATTGATCCACAGAGTCAGTTTAGGAAAATGGTACCAAAAACTCCTACACATCAAATATATTATCTGAAATTTGTATTTCAATTCAAATGCGATATTGAGCTTATATGGAACAACTTGGTAATCTAGAACGCAAAGTCCACAGGTAGAACCAGGAATCAGAGGTGCAAGGGTCACCTTGGAAACTAATTTCTAATCAAATCTCTATTCCTCTAGGACAGGAATCCACGTGAAGGAAGTCAGCCTACTGCCAGGCTGGAAATCCCTGTGTGCGTAGCCAGGCTGCCAACCCGACACGTGGGGGAGGCTTTGCTATTTCGCCTGCGCTGGGGCCACCACCCTTCTCTCCCGGTGACATTTCTGCCTTGGCAGTCTCCTTCCTGTCACACCTCTGTCCATTCACTGGGCTTCAGCGCCCTCTAGGGTGGGGTCTATTCTCTTAGCCACTGGAGCAGCACAGACCAATTTAAATGGGATATCATGTATGTTACTTAAATTGTTCTACCAACCACCTTTTAAAAAGAAAAATAAATACGTTGAATTAAATTTAATAATGTATTTGATTTAACCAAATACAGGCAAAATATTTTCACAATATAATCAAGGCCAACAATTATTGAGATATTTTATATTAGCCACCCCCCACCCCCAATTCACTGTCTTATCTCAATTTGAACTAGCTGAATTCCAAGGGCTCAAGAGCCACATATGGCTGGTGGCTGCTGGCTTCAACAGTGTAGTACTACAGTGTGTCAGCATCATGCCTGAGAGTCTTCACCCAGTGCCATTCGGTTCCTATATCCTCAAAGCAATGATTGCAGAGCTTCCCAAGCAACAAGGAGATAATCTATAGTAAATGTCTGTGGCTCAATAATGAAAAAAGAGGCTTAGAGAAATTGAGTCTCTCTACTCTTCTCCTTGATAACCACTAAACACCACACACCCATATATCCATGCACTTGAAACACACAGCTTTCTTCCTCCCTTCCTACCAACTTATGTACAGATGGTTCCTAGCTCGCAGTGGCTCAGCTAACCACTCTTCAATTCTACAATGGTAGGAAAATGATAGGCATTCTATAGAACTAGTTCAAATTTCCAATTCTGTAAAAAAAAGTGTTTTTTTTTTATTTATTTGAAAGGCAAAACAACAAATAGAGAATGTGTCAGAGAGAGAGAGCTAGCTAGCTTCCATCTGCTGATTCACACACCAAATGAGTCAGGAACTCCATATGGCTCTCCCATGTGAATGACAAGGACTCAGTGTGTGACCCATTGTGCACTGCCTCTTACACACCTTAGCAGGAAGCTAGATGGGAAGAGAGGCCAGTCACTCTGAATGGGGTGCCAACATGCACTTGTGCCACAATGTTTATCCCCAGGTATTGAATTTTTCATTTTCCCTGACAAGCAATCAGCGGTAGGATCCACAGTCAGCCCTGCAATCATTGAGGAAAACCATAAATACCCTGCAGTGTGTTGCACCACCCAACTGTGATGTTCAGCAGGTTAGATGTTTCCAATGCATTTTCAAATTATAATATTTTCAACTTATGATGGGTTTATTTGGACATCGTCCTATTGTAAGAAGAAGAGAATCTTTATTTGAATGGGAACAGTAGCTTAACCCAAAAAAGGGTTGTTAAGGTGAGAACTTCAGGTCAAACTATGGGGAGATAGCAGCAGACGTGTGGGAAAAGCTGGCTGGGCTCCTCAGAACAAAAGATGTGGGCAGCTGTTCATCTCCTTCTGAGGAGGGACAGGGCTCTATCCGTAGGGCCAAGACCAGTGAGGACTAAGGGTTCTCACAGCCAATGATGACATCGAATGCAATCACCTCGAGAGGTTCTTGGCTCCGAATTTAATTCCACAAGCATGTGTGGAGTCCTTACCAAGTATCCTGTTAGACTGTGAAAACCCTGGGGACAGAGACCATCTCTTCCTCATCTCCGTATGGCCAGTGTCTCAACTCGTGATGAATTTATACAATTTCAGCCAAAAGCAAGAGACATTTGATGTTTTCATTTTTTTTCTGTGCAGTTTTATTTCAGATAAGTAAACATATGGCATCTGAGAAGCTTTCTCAAACCCTGAAATCCGCTGGTGAACCTGGACTTCTACCTTGGAGTTTTCCTGCATGTGGGTAAGTGGGGACTCTCGGCTGATGACCACAATTCAACCTCCACTGCCTAATAATGGGGGAAACTGAGGTCACTAGATCCTGAACAAATCTATGAAGAGGATTTTAAAAAATACTTTTGAAGATTTATTTTATTTATTTGAAAGGCAGAGTGACACACAGAGAGAGAGGGTAAGACAAGCTGAGAGAGAGAGAGAGAGAGAGAAAGAGAGAGAGAGAGAGAGAGAGAGAGAGAGAGACCTTCTGTCTGCTAGCTTATTCCCCAAATGGTCACAATGACTGGGGCTGGGGCTGGGGCTGGGTCAAAGCCAGGAGCCTGGGACTCCATCTGGCTCTCCCACATGGATGCAGGGGTCCAAGCACTTGGGTTATCTTCCACTGTTTCCAGGTGCATTAGCAGGAAGATGGATAGGAAGTAGAGCAGCCAGGGCTGGAAGTGGCACTCATATGAGATGCTGCTGTTGCAAGTAGCAGCTTAACCCTTTGAGCCACAGCACTGTCCCCAGAAGATTTTTACCATTAGGCAATTTTCATAAGGAGAAGAGTGGGGAGTATTGAGGCAGTGCGTAGAATTTGAATAGAGTTTAATCCATTTTACTTTTAAAGGCCCTAGGCAGGGTACCAGGCTGCAGAAAGATCACTAATAACTCTGAGGCAGTGCGTTGGGGCCGAATTAGCCAAACAGGATGTTTGTATTCTTAGACACACTTCACACTTTCCATCCTTGCAAGTTGCCACACTACACGAATCACTTTGTAAAGTACACAATCAATGGCTTAAAAACAACCTAATGTAGCAGGGTCCATCCATACAGCATCCCACATAGCACTTATTACAGAGAAACCCGGAAGGAAAAACTCCCTGGACTGGGATATTTTCTAGAGAATCAGCAACTTTTTTGAAAGACAGCATTGCCTAGTCATCTCCTACGTGGTCCCAGTGAAGAGGGCCCAAAGATTCATCACAAGTCCATTGCTGGAAACCTTGAATACATTTTCCCATATTAACACTGCTGTTGATTGGGTTCCCAGACTATCCCACAAGGACTATTTAACCCAAAGTGCTGCTGAAATATGACACTTTTATTATGAAAAAAGAGTAGGCTGCAATGTCATTGCTAGGAATTAAGCACTAGAGGAGTAGGCTGCACTGTCATTGCTAGGAATTAAGCACTAGAGGAAAACAAGGACACTGGAAAAGCGCTTGATGCTCAGAATAGAAACTGAAGCCAGTGAGAGATCCAGCGCAGTGTTTGCCACAGCATCCCCACAACAGGGAATTTGTGACCCACAGCCCAGGCCCCATCCATTCACCAGTGGTTTGGGACTGTTCTCCTTCAGATCTTGCTCCCTTTCACACATAGAATCTCCAGGAAGACTGAAGAATTTATCCCTCGCCTTGGCCTTGGAAAGATTCGGTTCTCTCCTCAATACTGCCCCCTCCTGGGAAAGGGAGACACAGCCCCAAACTGCTGTCAGCTAAACTTGTTACTTCCTGAGTTAGCAGCACAAAAGAACCCCCTTTTAGAAAGACTCCAGACTAAGAAAGGGGAAAAGAAGCCTTTAAGGAATTTTCTAGGTTTAGCTCTTCTGTGCGTGTGACAAGGAGCAGCCAAGAGGCCTGGTGTTGCTCTCTCCAGCTGGGGGAATCTGGAGTTCAACATTCATGAATATTAAATTAATTGTTAATGAAGTTGACACAGTGCTCCAATTTATATAGGTTTTATTTCTTTGTAAATGTTAGCTTTTAAAAAAATTAACTGGAACATAAAAGTGATACATATTTGTGGTACCACGTGACATTTTATAGGTATGTAAGAAATCCGTATGAACTTCAGTACCTTAGTTTTATTTTCATGTATTAAAAACAAATTTTTACAGATCTCAAGTTTTACAGCAGGTCCCAGGAAAGCTAAGAAGTCCAAAGAATTGCACCTGTGACCAAGTGCTCCTTGCTTTTTGGAATACAGGACAGTCATCAGAAGAAAGGTTGGGCTTGATCCTGGATGGATTTTAGCTTTAGTTTGGATCTAGTTAATAAATAACTGACTACAATTTTGGGAAATTTCTGGGTTTGAGTCCTAACATCTAGAAGCACCAATAAAACAGAATAAAAAAGTCAGCCTCCAGCAAAATTAAAATGGAATGCATTTAGTTCTGTCTACCGGCTGTGCTTCCAGGACCAGCTGCAGAGAAACACTTGCAATATGTACCCAAAAAGATGTACATGGATATTCACTGCAGAAGCATTTACAATATCGAGAACTTGGAAGAAAGGTAAGTGTCTACCACAAGGGAATGACTAAATGACACCTCATCTCTGCTATGGAATACTACTCAGTAGTTTGAAAGGAGACAAGTACAGTTATAGCTTCTGATGAGAAAACTTTTGAAGACAGATTTTTAAAAATGATTTTTTATTTACTTATTTATTGATTTAAAAGGCCAAGTGACAGAGACAGAAAGACATCCAGGAAGATCTCCATCCTGTGGTTCACTCCTCAAATGCCTGCAACAGCTAGAGCTAGGGCAGGCTGCAGTCAGAAATCAGGAACTCCATTCAGATCTCCCATATGGGCAGCGGGAATCTACGTTCTTGGGCCAACGTCTGCTATCTCCCACAAGTATTAGCAGAAAGTTTTATTGGAAGCACACAGTAGCCAGGATTAGAACCGAGCATTCTGATAGGGGATGTGAGCATCTCAAGTGGTAATTTAACCTGCTGTCCCACAATGTCCATAGTTGAAGACAGGTTTTCAAAGTGAAAAACCCATGTATTGTTTCATATATGATACATATTATATAAATAAAATATTATATATATAACCGCATAGAATAAAGGATTGGGAAAAACCCATCTTCCTCTCAAAATAGTGAACATTTTTTTTTATTTTTCAAAGAGGAGGCATAAAAAGGAGCCTTTCAAGGCTACTTTTGTATTTCTTTAGTATTTAATTTTTTAATAATGGAAAACTATTAATTAGTTACACAGATTAAAAATCACATATTGGGTGGGCATTGTGATACAATGTGCTAAGCCACTGCTTAGGAGGCCTGCATCCCATATCTGAGTGCCTGGGTTTGTGTCTCCCCTCTCCTTCTCCCAGCTTCAGGCTAATGCACATCTGGAAGGTAGTAGATGATGGCTCAAGTGTTTGGGTCTCTTCCACCCACATAGGAGACCCAGATAGAGTTCCCAGATCCTGGCTTTGGAGTGGCCCAGCCCCTGGAGCTGCAGGCATTTGGAGAGTAAACCATTGTATGGAAGATTCTCTCTTTCTTTGTCACTCTGCCTTTCAAATAAAAATAAGTAAATAAATAAGTAAGCCTAAGAAAATTAAAAGTTATATGCAAATGATACCAAAAATGCAAGCATATTATACATTGGAGTAGGCCCCGGGCCTGCATTTAAGTCTTACCTCCCCTGGGACTTGACAAGTCTGAGCGTGTTTGGTGGCGCAGAATAACTAGGAATCTATTTTCGCAGCAGACAAAGGGCCACCTGGGAGAGGTTTTGAACAAGGGAAGAGAGAGGTGGGCACACATGGGTGACCTCCTAGCCAAGGCTCAGTGGGTACAAGGAGGAGCAGGTATGAACTCAGCCCAGTGTGAATTGTCAACTGATGGCTAGACAAAGTAGGAAACCACTACTTAGGGCCACAGAGAAGGACGTTGTGCAGACGTGGAGGGCCACTATTCCTCTTCCTTCTCCTAGACATTATGCCTCCTCTTGCATTCCTAATGACACAGTTTCCATTGTTGTTACCATTTTGCAGAGAGAGCGCTAAGATCCAAAAAGGTGAAGGAACTTGTCTGCGTGGCAGGTAACAGAGGAAAGCTACAAACAGTGTCTGCAAAAATGAAACCAGGCCTGTGGAGTGCTTAGCACACACTAAGTGTTCAGTCGGTGTTCTTGGTTAGCTTTATGTCATTACTGTTTACTATAAATTATGGTCCACAGCGTAGGGAGCCTGTGTGACTCATCTCCGAGTCTCCTATTCTCAAAAAACTGTATGTGGCCTGATTTTAGAGAAGATGGAGAAGCTGAGACTACAGCTCTCCCCCATTCATTCAGCTAATAAATATTGGAATCAGATACAAGCCTACAAAACAAAATGCACATAAGAGACCTGGCCCATCACTAGTAGTCGATGTTAACTGGCTTAATTAGTTTTCTTTATTTTTTGAAGTTCCTCCAGTGCAGGGAGAATATCTGGTGAACCCCCATGTCCGCACACCTGAGGCAATGTTTGACACAGAGAAGATGCTTGGTAAAAATTAGCTCAAGGGTTCAGCACTGTGGTGTAGAGGGTAAAGCTGCTGCCTGCAGTGCCAGCAGCACTGCATCTCATATGGGCGCTGGTTCGAGTCCTGGATGCTCCACTTCCCATCCAGCTCCCTGCTAATGTGTCTGGGAAAACAACAGAAAATGGTCCAAGTCCTTGGGCCCCTGCACCCAAGTGGGAAGCTCAGAAGAAACTCCTGGATCCTAGCTTTGGATCAGCCCAGCTCTGTTTGTTGCAGGGGATAGAAGATTCTCTGTCTCTCTCTCTGCCTCTGTCTCTCTGTAACTCTGCCTTTCAAATAAATGAAAAAAATAAATCTTTAATTGATTTAATCTGCTCAATGAGTGGGAGCAGTGTGCGCCCCTCACCTGCAGGAACACTTGGCCGAGCCTTCCTGAGGCTGCTGCTGCCCTTGCCCAAACCTGGTGACCCAGCAACAACAGGCTAACATTTTTTAAAAAGATTTATTTATTTATTTGAAAGTCAGAGTTACACAGAGAGGAGAGGCAGAGATAGAGATAGAGAGAGAGAGAGAGAGAGAGAGAGAGGTCTTCCATCCGCTGGTTCACTCCCCAATTGGCCGCAATGGCCAGAGTGGCGCTGATCCGAAGCCAGGAGCCAGGAGCTTCTTCCGGGTCTCCCACGCGGATGCAGGGACTCAAGCACCTGGGCCATCTGCTACTGCTTTCCCAGGCCACAGCAGAGAGCTGGATCAGAAGTGGAGCAGCCGGGACTAGAACCAGCACCCATATGGGATGCTAGCACTGCAGGCCAGGGAGTTAACCCGCTGTGCCACAGCGCCAGCCCCCTGAGGCTAACACTTGAGAGTGCAGCACCCATTGGTCATCACGGGACTGAAGTGGAGGGTCTTGTAGATGCAGGCCATGGTGACCTGAGGCTAAGTATTAGAGCTCTTGCTGCCCAGCACAAGCCCAGATTCCACCCCAGGACATCCGCCGTTCTGTATTCTTATGAGGATAAAGGTAATTAAGTTACCCAAGTTTTAAAAATCTTCAGACCTCTACTATCACAACACCATCCTAAGGTGGGACCACAGTTGTTTCCAAGTTTGCCTCTTAAGATGGGACAGGAACTCTTCCAGGATAGGCTTTCCTTCATTCAGCAAATATTTGTTATGTATTTACTACATGACAGGCTTTGTTCTAGACACCAGGATGGGAGCAATTAACAAGATGGACAAACCACCTGGAATTTATTTTTACTGGGGGAATAAAACAGAAACAAAGATACATATTGAACAAAATGTGGGTTATTAACATGAGCTAGGAGGACAAATTTCTTGAAGAGAAGACAGAGTGAGGAGTTGAAATATCTGCTGTTATATATTTAAGGTCATGTCTGAGGAAAGTGACATTTGAGCAAAACCCCAAATCAAGTGACTATCTGGAAGCAAACGTGAGAACTGGGGAAGGAGGATGAATCCAAGCAGAAGAAAGAGCAGTTGCAGCGGACTTGAGCTGGGCATAAACTCCGTACGTTTCTAATGTACTGAGCAGGTCAGCATGACTGGAGGAGGGAGCGTACACAGGGGTGGGTGTTTTTGTAGCGGTTAAGGTGCAGAGGCTACAGTGCTGCTTGCTACACCCTTATCTCATATCAGAATGCCTGGAGTTGAGTCGCCTCTGCTTCCCATCCAGCTAACTGTTAACATGCACCCTGGGATGCAGTCGTGATGGTTCATGTAACTGGAACCATGCAACCCACATGGGAGACCTGGATGGAGTTCCTGGCTCCTGGCTCTTGGTTTCAGCCCAACCCAGCTTCAGCTGTTGCAGGCATTTGGGAAGTAAACCAGCAGATGAGATCTCTTTCTTTGCTCTCTCCTCCCCCCACCTTCAGATAAATGAATGAATGAGTGAATAAATACAGTATTTTGAGGAGGAGGAAATTATAAGGAAGTGAGGTAGGAGAGAGAAGCAGGGACCTGAGGACCGTGGGAAGGACTGGACTTTATTCTCAACGCTGATAAAGAGCTATTGGAGAGGAGCAATCCATTTGAATTTTTGAAAAGGTTGTTCTGGCTGCTGTATGGAGAATAGATGGTATGGAGTGTGGGGTGGGTGAGCCAAAGGGAGAAGCATTAGGAGGCTCCATGGAAGAGGCGGCACAGAGGAAGTGCTGATGCGTATGAGACTAGACATTACTTGGGATGACAAATTCTACAGCAGTTACTGAGGGCTTGGAGGAGAGAAACCCCAACATGCAAGTATTGGATAGGCCCAAGTATCTGGATGGGAGGAAGTGAATGATATTATTTCTTTCCTAATTCCTCCTTGGTGCTTAATAGATGGCACATTGTCAAGAAATTTTTGTTGAAATCTGGCCCATGACCATAAAGTTTCATGACTTTTGTGTCACTGGTGCTTTTAATTTTTTCAGTTTTGTTTAGTATTTTGGCGAATGTTCTTATCTTGAATGGGATTTAAGTCAAGGATCTGGTGCTGGGACCCACCCTTTAGCAGCAGGGATCACGTGCTGAGTGCCACGTTTGTCTGTGAGCAGGAGCCGGGGTGTGTGCATGCACATGTGTGTGCATGTGTTTTTATTTCCACAGAGAATGTGACTGGAAGAAAACTCAACATCTTTGCTTTGGTTGTACTTGGTATTTGGTTTCCTTACAGTGTTTCTGTTTTTTGAAAGCTACTCCACAAGGGGTGGTGAGGACACAGCAAGGCATGGAAAGAATTCAGCAGAGCTTCTGAATGACAAACCAGTCAGCCAGCCAGACACACACACACACACACACACACACGTATGCATGCATGCACATTCCTCTGGCATCAAGCCAGCTAAAATGCTTTACATGTCTTCAGCTAAGCTTATGCTCAGTCCTATGACATGCCACATATGTAATAAGGCACTACATTAAAAAAAAGCAACACCGATAATCTGAAAAGTCACTTCCCCATTTCATCTCAGAGTCAGCCTCCATCTTAACCACAGATCGATTTTGCAATTGCCACATTCTGGCAGCTTCTGCGCAAGAGTGAGTGTTGTCTGATGCAACAATATGCTTCTGCGGTGGATCAAGGAGTAAAACGGGAGCCTGGGGCTTCTCACCAAGTGCTGGGTTTAGGGGGGCTGGCTTTGTGGCATTGTGAGCTAAGCTGCCACGTGCAACCCTGGCATCCCATGCTGGAGCACAAGTTCAAGTCCTGGCTTTTCTGCTTCCAATCCAGCTCCCTGTTACTGCTCCTGGGAAGGCAGCAGAGGATGGCTCAATTACTTGGGCACCTGCTTCTCACATGGGAGACCCAGATAAAGTTCTGGGCTCCTGGTTTCAGCCTGGACCAACCCTGCCATGGCTGCCATTTAGAGAGTGAATGGTGGATGGAGTCTTTCTCTCTCTCTCTTTCTGTCACTCTGCATTTCAAATAAATAAATAAGCTTTTTTTTTTTTTTGACAGGCAGAGTGGACAGTGAGAGAGAGACACAGAGAGACAGAAAGAAAGGTCTTCCTTTGCCGTTGGTTCACTCTCCAATGGCCGCCGCGGCCAGCGCTGATCCGATGGCAGGAGCCAGGTACTTCTCCTGGTCTCCCATGGGGTGCAGGGCCCAAGGACTTGGGCCATCCTCCACTGCACTCCTGGGCCACAGCAGAGAGCTGGCCTGGAAGAGGGGCAACCGGGACAGAATCTGGCACCCCGACCAGGACTAGAACCCGGTGTGCCGGCGCCGCAAGGCAGAGGATTAGCCTAGTGAGCCACGGCGCCGGCCTGAAATGTTGCTCTTAAGACCACAGGGTTTGTAGAGAAAATAGAGTTAGGGGCAAATGACTCCAATTCTATGAAATTTGATTATGAGAGCATTACCTAAATTGCTAACAGTACAATGTAAAATGAATATTCTAGGATAACTAAAAGTTACGCAATGTTCCTGCTAAATAAAATTATTATATTAACTAGCATTTAATATTTTAAAAGTCAAGTTAATTATGTGAAAGGGGCTTAGACAAATAAAAGATAGCTGCACATTCTGTGTTATTCCTCTCACTGAAAGACTCTAGAATGCCTTTGTAACTTGCTTGACCAATAAAATGCAACACAAGTCAAGTTCTAGGACTTCTAGAGCTTAGGTCATAGGCAGGCTTGGAGTCACCACAGACTCTGTAAATACTGGTGTTGAGAGAAGCTGGTCCACACAGAAAAAGACCAACGTGCTGTGAAAAAGCCTGAGCTAGGCACATGTGTGGCTGGAGGGAAGAGGGAAACCTGGCTTGCTCCCAGATATTCCAGCCCCCATCCATTGAAGCATCATAGCTGAGCCTCAAAGAGGAGATGTCTCCACCATGTCATCCCAAAATTGCCAATGCATCAGTAAGTTAAATATTTATGTTGTTTTAAACCACCACATTTTGAGGTGGCTCACTTTGCAGCAATAGATAATGAAACAGGGCTGAAAGAAATAATTGCAGGTGCTGACCTATGGAGAAAAATGCGAACTACACAGTGATGGGGAGAAGCAGCTAATCAGGTAAACTGAACTAAGGAAGACCACAGGGCAGCTGGGCAGTATATTCACACCTACGACTCATGGCATGCAGCAGTACTGGGTGCTCTCTCTTAATTACAGGCAAACAGGGAATAGGAGAAAACTTCCTTAACCAAATAAAGACATGTCTGAGAAACCTACAGTTGCCATTGTATCTAATGATGACAGGCTGAATGATTTTTCTCATAGCAATAATAAGGCAAGGATTTTCAGTCTTACTGTTTAATTCAGTAATAAGCTAGAGAGTCTAGCCAGTCTAATAGGGAAAGAAAAAGAAATTCAAAGCATACAGATTAGAAAGAAGTAAAGCTGCCTTCATTTATAATGTGATCCTTCAAGTAGCAAATCTTAGAAAATTCACAAAAAACTATCAGCAAATAAGAAAGATTAGCAAAGTCATCACATACAATGTAAATATAAAAATTCAACAATCTGAAAATTAAGGAACATCATAATAGCACCAAAAGATTAAAATATTAGGAACAAATTTAGCAATGTATAAGAAAAACTACAAAACTTCACCGAGAAAAATTAAAGAAGATGTAAATAATTAGAGAGGTATTACATGCCCATGAGATACGATTAAGATGGCAATTCATTGAAGATGGATGCATAGATTCTACACGCTCCCTATAAATGCTCCGCAGGCTTACTTTTGTAGAAACTGCCAAGTGAGGGGCTGGCGCTGTGGCGCAGCAGGTTAAAGCCCCAGTCTGCAGTGCCAGCACCCCATATGGGAGCCGGATTAAGTCCCGCTGCTCCTCTTCTGATCAGTTCTCTGCTATGGCCTGGGAAAGCAGTGAAAGATGGCCCATGTCCCTGGGCCCTTGCACCCACATGGTAGACCCAGAAGAAGCTCTTGGTGGCTCTTGGCTTCGGATCAGCTCAGCTCTGGCCATTGTGGTCATTTGGAGAGTGAACCAGTGGAATGGAAGACCTCTCTCTCTCTGTCTGGCTCTACCTATCTGTCTTTCAAATAAATAAAATAATTCTTAAAAAAAAAAAAAGAAATTGTCAAGTGAATCCTGTAACTTACATGGAGATAAGAAGGACTTAAAATAACCAAAAACCAAAATAATATTGAAAATGAAGAAGGTTGGAGGACTTACACTACATGACTTCAAAACTCACACAGTTACAATATTCAAGGTACTCTTATGAATAAATATCTAGGTCAATGGAGTTGAAACCCTTAGATTTATGATGCATTGTTTTTCAACAAAAGTGAAACAAGAAAAGGGTAGTCTCCTCAACATCTGGTGCAAAGGCAACTGAAAATCCATGAGCAATCCAAATAACAAAAACCAAGACCCTTATTTCACACTATACATATCAGAATGAAGAGATAACACCCAAACAAGAACATATTTGCAAATCACATGATAGAGGTGTGCTCAGAATATATTTTAAAAAAACCTCTTGGCTGACACCGCGGCTCAATAGGCTAATTTTCTGCCTGCGGCGCTGGCACACCGGGTTCTAGTCCCGGTCGGGGCGCCGGATTCTGTTCCTGTTGCTCCTCTTCCTGTCCAGCTTTCTGCTGTGGCCAGGGAGTGCAGTGGAGGATGGCCCAAGTCCTTGGGCCCTGCACCCCATGGGAGACCAGGAGAAGCACCTGGTTCCTGGCTTCGGATCGGCGCGGTGGGCTGGCTGCAGTGGCCATTGTGGGGTGAACCAACGGCAAAGGAAGACCTTTCTCTCTGTCTCTCTCTCTCACTGTCCACTCTATCTGTCAAAAAAAAAAAAACCCTCTTAAATAGCCAAGACCTGGAACCAACCTAAATGCCCATCAATGGTAGACTGGATAAAGAAATTATGGGATATGTATTCGTTAGAATACTATACCGCAGTAAGAAACAACGAAATCCAGTCATTTGCAACAAAATGGAGGAATCTGGAACACATCATGCTGAGTGAAGTAAGCCAGTCCCAAAGGGACAAATACCATATGTTCTCCCTGATCGGTGACAACTGACTGAACACCAAAAAGGAAACCTCCTGAAGTGAAATGGACACTATGAGAAATGGTGACTTGATCAGCATAGCCCTGACTGCTAATGGACAACTTAATACATTATCCCTCATAGTATTTTTTTTTTGTCTGTTCTACTTAATATGACTGGTTTAATTCTGTAATTAATACACAGTTATTCTTAAGTGTTGAAAATTAACTGAAATGTGACCCCTGTTAAACATAAGAGTGGGAATAAGAGAGGGAAGAGATGTATAATTTGGGGCATGCTCGGGCTGACTTGCCCCAATTGGTAGAGTTGGAAACATACCAGGGGATTCCAATTCAATCCCATCAAGGTGGCATGTACCAATGCCATCTCACTAGTCCAAGTGATCAATTTCAGTTCACAATTGATCATAATGAAAGGACTAAGAGTCAAAGGGAGCACATAAACAAGTCTAGTATCTGCTAACACTAACCGATAGAATAAATAAAGGGGAGAGTGATCCAACATGGGAAGTGAGATATTCAGCAGACTCATAGAATGGCGGATGTCCTAAATAGCACTCTGGCCTCAGAATCAGCCCTAAAGGCACTCGGATCTGGCTGAAAAGCCCATGAGAGTATTTCAGGCATGGAAAGCCAAGACACTCTGGCAAAAAGATCTCTGTGAGTGAGATCCCAGTGGAAAGAACAGGTCTTCAAAGAGGGAGGTGCCTTTCTCTGAAGGGAGGAGAGAACCTCCACTTTGACTATGACCGTGTCTAAACAAGATAAGAATCGGAGAACTCAAGGGGCTTCCATAGCCTTGGAAACTCATGACTGGTGCATAGGGAGATTACTGATGCCATAAACAGGAGTGTCAATTTGTAAAGTCAACAACAGGAGTCACTGTGCACTTACTCCTCATGTAGGATCTCTGTCCTTAATGTGCTGTACACTGAGGTTTAATGCTATAACGAGCACTCAGACAGTATATTTCACTTTGTGTTTCTATGGGGGTGCAAACGATTGAAATCTTTACTTAATGTACACTAAACTGATCCTCTGTAAAAAAAAAAAAAAAAGAAATTATCAATTCCCAACTTGACTCTCACTGGGATTAAACATGACAATAGGTCTGATCTGATTTCATCATCATTTAAAAAAAATCATCTATTATTTTTCACTTTATGTTTCTGTGTGGGAGCAAACTGTTGAAATCCTTACTTAATGTATACTAAGCTGATCTTCTGTATATTAAGATAATCGAAAATGAATCTTGATGTGAATGGAAGGGGAGAGGGAGTGGGAAAGGGGAGGGTTGTGGGTGGGAGGGACGGTATGGGGGGGGAAGCCATTGTAACCCATGAGTCGTACTTTGGAAATTTATATTCATTAAATAAAAGATAAAAAAAATGTGAATATAATTAATTATAATACATTTGTATATTATATAATATATAAAATATAATAAATATTTAAAATATAAATATATTAAATATATAAATATAATAATACATAATTAATTATAATGTATAAATAACTAATTATTAATTACAAAGGGGCAAAATATTTGAGAAGACCTTCATCAGGGATGACATATAATTGGCAAATAAGCACATGAAAAGATGATCATTATCATTAATCATTAGAGAAATGTAAATTAAAACCATGAGATACTCAGCTATTAGGATGACTAAATGAACAAAAACAAAACAGAGAGGTAACACCAAGTGCTAAACAGAAAATTGCCATTGATACCATCTACCAGTTTGGCCTGCATTCAATATTTGAGTCTATTTAGTTCTGTGCAATTTTAGCATATGGGCAAATACATGTGATATCCACCATATCAAGAAATAGAACAGTTAGAACTGACAGATCTTTTGTCATCCTTTTATAGTCATAGCCACCTCTCTCCTCT